ATTAGCCAATATTTGTTTTCAGATTTTACAAACTAACTAGAGTGAATTCGTGACTTGTCTGCCAAGTTTGAACCAAATCGGCCCAGCCAAAAAAATCACAGAAGAATTCAAAAGCAATTTCTGGGGAACAGTTACCCCAACTTTGGGACAAATGTCTCGGTAATGAAAAAAGGATATCAACAATTAAAATAGTAACTTTGTGCCCACGCTCTAGCTGAGTAGGAAGTGCTATGTCTGAGGTGTTTTATCCTAAATTTGTAGGAGGAGATACATTTGGCGCGAAACTATTCAAAAATCATCATGATTTTAAGGGCAATCCTAGCAGAGCGGATCGCCAATAATATCAATGGCTACATGTTTTAATAGCCAGTCAGCATCAGGTTAATACCTACTACCGACGAAGTGTACATTGCTCGTAGTCAGTGAGTGAGCTGTAACTTTTGGGCCAAATATTGACTAAAATATTGCTTTGTAGCATATTCAATTTCCAATTTTTCAATTTGCCTAAAATTTACTTAAATTTGTTCACTATAGCAATGCACCTTATATTGATCCACGAATACTCCCCCACCAACCTGCTCGTTGGACAAATTAATGCAGAGACCCCTTGACACAGCACACCAATTCAAACACAAATACCGATTTTTGTAAAATAAATGCTCCCTAAAGTCACGATATTTCATACTGGTGTATACACTTCTCAAAATTCAAACTAAACACAATTAATCTCTTAATACATTGAACAGTAGAAGTACCACATTCCTTTGATAATGAATGTCACAGTGTAAGGCCTGCTTATTGCTATTGAGAGGGGCTCTCACAGAATTCACACTGGACAGGGGGCTCTTTCGCTGCTAGAATTGGGTGGACAATAGTACTGGAAATAAAATACTGGAGTCTTGCTTGCAAAGAAACACTTTTATTCTGGAGGACACCGCTGAAAGCAGGAGATTGCAGAGCAGTTCATACAAGTCGCAGCAGCAACACACAGGGTCCCCCATTGCTCTCAGTCTAGCCCAGATTCAGGAACACCACATGGGTTTCCACACGAACCAATCAGAATGTGGTTTGCTAGCAGCTGTCTCACGCTGGCAAGTCAGTAGATCGTAAGCATCCTTTGTTATGTAAATCACAAGCACACCTGGTAGATTCCAATTGTCCTTCCAGAGTTGTAAACAGGTATGCACACCGTTTCTTCCCATGGTTGCATGCACACTTCTATTTGCAGGGTTTGGGGTAATATGGCAAAAACATAGAATGAAGGATGTTGACAATGAATAACACCAGGCAAAGATTAACCATATGCGTAAATCACTTTATTTTGTTTTTATGTTCTGAGACCGCCATCTCTTTTGATGAACTTTCCATCACATGTTAGCATCAATAAACTAATTTATTAAAGTAGCTTCACGGGAAACAATATTATTCAAATGTTTTTTTTCAAATGAATTTTCAAAATATAATAATCTGATTTCAATAAATGGGATATTACATATATTACCGTAAATACTTCTGTTTTCTTTTTTTTTACAAGTATTGTATTTGTTTTATTAGAAGCGTAAATGCATGTAATGACAAAGGAGAGTCTACGGTCAAAGTAAGCCATATCTAGCACACAATAAATGTAAACTTTAGTGTACAAACACTTGCAGATCTATTGGAGTTGTGCTTCGAACAAATATGGTATTTTTTTCTTTCATG